CGACGTCGGCCATGGTGGACGCGGCGTCTCGGCGACACTACGCCGGCAAAACAAGACCGGTAACTGTCAAACTAAGCGCTTAGAAAGGATCAGCATCTCACCCCGAACGTGTAGAAGCAAAGAACGAGGCCGGAGAAGCTACGGTGACGCGGGTCGACGGTGACAGCGGTCACGGCGGAGCAGACTTCGTCGACGACGGTGTTCCGGTGACTACAGTGGGCAAACTGACCAAGAAAGAATGGATTAAGCACCACAGCATCTAGACAAAGCTGTAGGGACAACAAGCAAGGGCAACGACTCACCGAATGACGCTGGCCGCGGTGAAACGGAATCTCGGGTGAGGTTGCTGACCGCGAGGAAGAAGGGTTGCTAGCGGTGGTTCCCAGTGGAATCAGGCGACCACAGTAGGATGGCTAGGCGCGCAAGGAGTAGGCGAAATTAATGGATGCTTTGCTGCGACGGCAGAGTCACTGGTTCGACGGCGAGAGCTCACCGAAGATGAACAAGGCGACGGGAAGAAAACAGAGCAAGGGAGCGGGGACCAACGGCGACGGCCAAGGCTAAATAGCGTGGCTTAGAAGCGCAAGGAAGCCACGCAGGAGACTTCTCCGCGCCAGCGTGAAGCCGAGGACGTCCATGCGCGCTCCTGGAACCGAACCGAAGGTCGCCGGCAATGTAGCAAGAGCGGTGACACTGTTCATCGAAATTACAGAATTGAGACCAGTTTGATACTCAAATTACTCCCAAATTTTTGTAACAACTCAAAAATCTCCAAAAATAAAAGTTGTTCAAAATTAAAAGTTCTACAACTTTGCTTTTATAACCATATCCAAATTCGGTCTACATTTTGAAATGCAAATTTGAATTCGAAAAGGGAACATTTAAGGAATTTCGCCTTTTCAAAATACTTCAAATTTTACTAAACAACTTGGAAAACTTCAAAAACCAACTTTGTACAACTCAACAAGCTCTACAACTTTGCTTTAAGACTCAACCCCAAAATGTGCTTCGATTTTAAAATGGGTTTTCAGGGTAGGATTTAAATATTGAAAATCAGGGTTTTCGGAATTTCAAATCAATACTCAGATTTCGAACTTGATTCAAACAATACCAAGCAATATTTGTAACATAAAGGTAAACTTGTTTTAGTGAATGCATATCAAAGTTTGCAATATGACCGATGCCTTGCAATACATATGATGATATGTCCGGTTTTTAATACTTAAACACCCGGGGTGCTTCACGTGAGATCTAGGGAGAGCGTGTGATTCATTCGTTTCTCTGTGTGTGATAGACTTTATGCATTCACGTTTACCTTCATGCATTGCATTACATACATGTGATTGTGATACTTATGTGACATGTGTGCTCTCTACATTGATATACATTTATATGTCATGTCACTTGATTATGCTCATTTGCTTTGCTTCCGTGTTTTACCCCGATTCAAATGAGCTTTACTTCATGTACTCATGCTTAATTCATATCTATTGAGTACACCATGTTGGCTTGGGTCATATAAGCATGTCTAACCCCTTTGCTCTTATTGTCAAAAGCTTATATGAACCAAGCATGTTTAAAACCTCACTCATCTCTTCTACATACTCGAGGTTGTGTTGTCATCAATCACCAAAAAGGGGAGATTGAAAGCATCTAGGCTCCTAATTGGGTTTCGGTGATTAATGACAACACGAGATTACTATGACTAACGTGTGTTTTGCAGGGGCAATTTAAGTTAGGTCATGGTAATGGCAATTGATTGGGCAATCATGGTTGTCATGCCCTTGTCAATGGAAATCGATTCGATTTTCAAAGGATGGATGACAAGGTTAAGGACGGACTAGTTCAGTATCGTTTGGTGTTGAAGAGACACTTAGAGTAGTTTAGGACTTTGTTTTTCCTTTGGCCGTACTATTAAGGGGGTATGGACTAGTAGCTTGACCTAGGTGAGTCTATTGGGTTAAGTGTGGTGCACACTTGTCAAATCTAGCACTAGGTAGTTTAGGAGTAGCCCTAAGATCAATTAGAGCAAACTTTATTCACATAGGATTTTGAGTTGGAAGTGAATGGAGGGTCAAATGAGTGACCGGACGCTGGTCTGGTTGTGACCAGACGCAGGAGGGTGAGTCCGGTCAGTTCATTTAATCAACTAAAGTCATCTGGTACTGACCGGACACTGAGTGAAAGTAGACCGGACGTTGGGTGCCTACATCCGGTTAACTCCAGAGAGGTTCCAGAGAGGATTTTCTTGACTGGACGCGTCCGATCGGTACCGATCGGACGCTAGTCAAGATCCGACTGATCGAGACGCTGAACAACAAAGTGACCGGACTCTGTGTGCCAGCGTGCGGTCAACATCAGTAAGGTTCTAAAGAGCGTTTTTCTTGACCGGACGCGTAGGTCAGAGTCTGGTCAGAAGTTAATGGCTCTTTCTGATACAATGGCGGGGATAACAGACCGGAGCGATCGGTCACCCCGCAGAGTACTGACTCAGCCTCCCAATGGTTTGTTTTGAATGAGAGGGTATAAATACTTACTCCACTCGTCCAAGGGAGGTCTCTTGTCCATTTGTTCAGCTGAGAAACACCTTGAGAGTGCAAGGGAGAGCAAGAGCCTAGTGAGGTGATTGAGATTTGAGAATCTAAGATTAAGGTCCTCATTAGTGCAAGGAGAGTAGCAAGTGTGCATCCACCCTTCTCATTAGGCTTGTCGTGGTCAAGTGAGAGTTGGTGCTTATTACTCTTGGTGATCGCCATCACCTAGACGGCTCGGTGGTGATTGTGAGTTTGGTGATCATCCGGCGGAGCTTGTGGGTGACCCAACTCAAGTTGTGAGCGGTTGTGGGCGATTCACCACGATGAAGTGTCGAAGAATCAGCCCATAGAGAGCACTTGATCCTTGTGCGGATCAAGGGGTAGCCACACCCTTGCGCGGATGCTCCAACGAGGACTAGTGGAGAATGGCAACTCTCCGATATCTCAGCAAAACATCGCCGCGTTCCTTTTCCTCTCTGTACTTTGAGCATTTACATTTGAGCAATTTATTTCTTGTCTTTACATTTCTAGAATTGCCATGCTAGAGTAGGATTAGAACTTAGGGTGCTAAACTTTTGTGCGGTAGAACAATAGAAACACATTCTAGGCACAAGCGGTGAAGTGGGCTAAGTGTAGGGCTTAATTATTGCAAAGAATTTAGAATTAGCCCAATTCACCCCCCTCTTGGGCATCTTGATGCTTTCACTGAGCTCTACGTGCACTGCCGCTGGCGAGCTCTGCGCCACCGAGATCCGCATCATCGATGAGCTCCGCACTGGCGACCTCCATGGCATCGAGCTTTGTTCCGGCGTCGAGCTCCGCGTCGACGAACCTCGATTCGCCCAAGCAACAAGAAGATGTTGCGCTGAAAGCGAATGTTGCAAACATATGTTTCAAGTGTTTCATATGCATGTTGCAAGTGTTTCATGTGGATGTTGCAAGTGTATTGTTCTAAATGTTTCAGCTATTTCAAATGTATGTTACAAGTGTTTTTATCTGGATGTTGCATATGTTTCACACATATGTTGCAACATCTGGATGTTGCATTTGCATATGTTTCTCCATATGTTGCAAGTGTTTCATCTGGATGTTGTATATGTTTTGCAATGGCTACACACATGTTTTTCTGGTGTTTTCAGACGTACGTTGCAAGTGTTTTAACTTCTTAGGATGTATGTTGTAATTGTTTTCATCTAGATATTGCAAAAGTAGATCTAGTGTTACACATGTTGCAATGGGCCCCATCTGCCGCAACCACCTGCTGCAGTTGTTGGGCCCACGTGCATGCTCATGGGTGTGGAGGGGCGTGAGCGGCAGGCGCGAGAAACAGTGCGGACGTAGATTGAGATGCGGACCCCACATGGGCACGCACAGGCGCGGGAACACAGAAGGGCACGGGCCTCCACGTGAAGCAGGTGCTTGAGCGTCGTTGGCGAAGTGACATGCGTTCGTGGGGGCGCGTGGCGTCCGGACGCTAGCCCTCGTCCGGATGCTAGCGTTTCTATAATAGAAAACCTAGTAGCAAACATAAAGGAAAGAAGAAAAACTTGTTCAAGATCTCTGTTATAAGAGGAATTTCCATTACAAAGAATCATCCGTGCATGTGCGTTGCATCTTCCTTACGAGCAAAACATCAAGAAAATTTATGCATGGATCCTAGGCTATCACAAATTAGTCCAATGCATTACCATGAGTATAAATCTGAGCATTTATGCAAATGCAACTTGCTGACCAGATCAGAACAAAGAACTCATCAGAAACTGAGAAAAAAAACGAGAACTCACCTAGGGTTGGCTCGACGATTGGACGCCAAGGCCAAGATCGACCCAAACCGAGACAGGTTTATGTCCCTTCCTGACCAGATCGGGCCATCCCATGGCCCAAAGTCATGGACTTGTTGCCGGAGTTGGATGTTAGCGATGGGCCTATGGTCTTGTTGAGCCACGCCTTCAGAGGACCAAATATACCTCAGCCTTTTTGTTTGGCGGCCCATGGGGTCCACTTCATTCCAGCAGCACGAATTTTGCAGCACCACGCTACAGAAAACATGCCGGCCCGGGGCGGCGCGCCGGCGCCTTCGGGAAATCCACACTCGTTTTAGTCGTTTGTCTCCATCCCGGGCGGTTCTTTCTGCGCGTTCTTCTCGTCAATTTGCGCCTGGCAAGCGGAAACCGGTCGGAGATATTATACGGACGAAGAGGAGGAAGCAGTGAGGCCGAGCGGGATGGCGTCGCCGCGGCCGCGCGTGTGCGTCACCGGGGGCGGCGGGTACGTCGCCTCATGGCTCGTCAAGCTCCTCCTCTCCCGCGGCTACGCCGTGCACGCCACTGTCCGCGACCCAAGTAAGCATGCACACCCCCATGCCGCTCTGGCCGTCTGTGACTGAGCGTGCGCTGCTCGTCTTGATCGGTGGACGCGTTGGGAACTGGGGACTCATGCATGGCGGCTGGCCTGGCTCTGCTTCAGGTGATCCCAAGAACGCCCACCTCCGGCGGCTGGACGGGGCCCCGGAGAGCTTGCTCCTGTTTAAGGCCGACATGCTCGATGGCGACGCCCTGGCGGCCGCGGTCGCCGGGTGCGAGGGGGTCTTCCACGTCGCCTCCCCTGTGCCCGCAGACAAGGTCCTCGATCCTGAGGCAAGTTTCGGTCCTATCCTATCTCTTCGGATTGACACCTAATTCGCTTGTTCTGAACCGTGTACGTGAATCCAGAATTCACTGGTTGTCTGGTTCCGTGGTTTACTGCTATCAATTTGACTGTATGGAAGTTTTTACTGCTTAAAGTCTTAAACATATGTTGAGTAAAATCATGCAGTCAGAGGTACTGTCTCCTGCTGTCAAAGGAACTCTGAACGTTCTTCAGGCTTGCTCGGCAAATAATGTTCAGAAAGTTGTCGTGGTTTCATCCACAGCTGCTGTTCATTATAACCCGAGTTGGCCCCAAGGTAGAATCAAAGATGAGAGCTGCTGGTCAGACAAAAAATTTTGCATTAAGAATGAGGTTAGTAATATTATTTCAGTTTCTTTACATACAAGTACCATCAATTTTTCTGGTAGCTAACACAACTAGTTTTTTTTTTACCATTTATTATTATCAATTCTTATTGACAATTGATGCTGTCTGGGAGGATTGTGTTAGGGTTAACTAGTTGTGCTTGCAGAACTGGTACACTGCTGCCAAGACAATTGCTGAAGAGACAGCATTGGAGTATGGAGAGAAGAATGAACTACTTGTTGTTACAGTTTGCCCTTGTATCGTTTTAGGTCCACTCCTGCAGCCTCTGATCAATACCACCAGTGAATTCCTCATCTACATTATAAAAGGTGGCCTATATATATTCCTGCTAGTTTCAAACACCCATTAATTGGATAATTATTCGCATGGTGATTTTATTTATTGCCTTTGATTGTGTTGAACTTACTAGCATTCAGTGACTAGTTCCCAACTTGATGTGGTTAATGGGATCAGAGTCAGTAGATTGGTAACAAATAGTGAGAGCTAGGTTACTCGTTTGGACGTTGATTCCCAAATAAAGTTTGTTTACTTGATGAATTAGGGGAAGAGCCCTAACCATCATCTATTCACCTTGCCTTGTAAGTTATACCAAGCTGCAAGCGCCATCTTTCGAACCAATTTTTTCATTGATAACTTCAATGCTAAAATCAGATCCTGAGTTTCTTCTCTAACTTGTCGTTCTCAAAATCACAGATGGTGCATTAGTTTTCTTGACACCAATCATTTCATTTGCTTGATTACAGCATGGGCGGCGCCTGGGGTATGCACCTGTATGCCATGAAATACCCATGTTTTGGAAACAAAAACAAATACATATACAAATGTATAATGGTATAGCATGTTGGTATACTGGATGTTGCAAATATGGCCCACAAAGCCCAATAGAACAACTAGCAGTAGCAGCCCACAAAGTCATAGACTCCAGAAAAAACCATTGACATCTCCCGACGCTCTGTGCTCCCATCGCTCGCATCGAGCCATCGACCGGAAGCAGCCGGCGGCACAAACTGGCGGCATGGCAGCACCTCTCTGCTCTCTCTCTCAGCCCCCCTCGCCTCTCCTAGCTCTGCTCAACTGCGCCTATCCGGCCCAGCGGCCGGTGTCGAAGCCCGCTAGGAAAGGAACCTGCGGCGGCCTGCAGCAGAGGAGCATCTCCGCTTCGGGCTTCGACTGATCAGCCCTCCCCTCTGTCCCCATCCTAGCTTTGGCTCGAAGAAATGTGAATAAAGATTTTGTTTCCTATTTTTTTGCATTGTATTTGTAATTAGATGAAGAAGAAGGGTGCCAGTATATTCGCACTTTGCTTATTACTATTGCATATTGTACTTTGCTTATTACTCATATTTGCATTGGAAATTTGTTTAACATGGAATACCCTGATGTGAAATCCTGGCTCCGCCACTGGATTACAGGAGGTCCTAGGGTGATGAAAAACCTCCCCTGGAACATAGTTGATGTCCGTGACGTAGCTGATGCTTTGCTTTTGGTATATGAGAAAGTGGAATCATCTGGGAGATACATCTGTGCACCGGATCGGATCAGCACAAACGACATAGTGAACTTGTTGAAGAAGTCCTACCCCAACTACAATTATGTGAGCTGGTGAATCTCTTACGATGTCCCTGTTGTTTATTTGGACTTGAATGCCTAGCTCTCATCCCTTTACATTTACACTATATGCAACTCTCTGCTGCAGCGACAACAAGGACTATGAATCCGAAGTCTCGCCAGTTACGTCAGAGAAACTTAAAAGTCTAGGCTGGAAACCAAGGAAAATGGAGGAAACTTTGTTGGACAGCATTGAGTACTTCGAGAAGGCAGGATTTTTGCAGGATCTAGAGGGCTGCCTTCGCCGTCTTCCTCATCTTTTTCATTTTGCTTCTGACTAATGAAGTAAACTCTGTAATACTCCCTCCATTCCAAATTATAACTCAACTCAAACTTTCTTAGAGAGTCCAAGTATCTTAAATTAGACCAAATTTATATAAATAAAATAATAACATTTATGATACCATGCATAGATAATCTACAAGGGATACTCAAGTATCTGAATTTGGATCATAGTGATAATGAAAACCTATTTGAACTGTTCATCACATGCCTATTTTGGGTTTATCGGATAGCCAGGTGGGTTTATATATATTGGTACCAATTATATAATTTGTTTGCAATAGGCTCCAATTTAATTGTTAGAATGGTTATGGCGAGCCTACATACCTTTTGTTCACACACAAATTACACAATACAAGTATGAAGTATGCAAGCTTTTAACACAATTTATCTGAAGTTACTCTTAAATTCCCGCAGCAACTCGTGGGTAACTCACCTAGTTTTATATACTTTTTGATCCCACTCATAATTGCCCACTTTGCTCTCACGGTTATGTGTTAGATATGTGTATAGTTAAAACTATCTCTCATGTGTTTATTATAACATAACACTGATAAAGATTTTCTTTTTTCTCTATCTTGTTGGGATATAATTTGGTCACAATTATTTTATCTACTTTTAATCCTGATTCATTTTTTTTCCTGTTTGCATCACACTTCCATAGTTCCATGTGTGTTTGACATGCGTTCACTATTGAGTTGATATTCTCTTATGTTTTTTATCTAAATAGAATACTTACATAGTACTTTCTTATCTTTATCCATTTATGTTAGGATTTAATTACCAATTATTTAATATCCTTTTCCATTAACTTAGTATTTTCCAGCTTTGCTCGCATCTTCATGTGTACTCGACATGTGTTTAGTTGATACCTTCGGTTTAGTTATGTGTTGTCTTGGAATTTGACATGTTAATCGATTCATGAACATGTTTATATATAATCCGCATAGTCACACGCATTATACATGAAGTTAGTTTTTTATATATTAGTAATCATAGAAATGGGTAGCTTAGAAACAATATATAAGAAATTTGATTTTTTATAGCGACGAACTTTTTACAATGACCGATGTAGGTAATTTTAATTTAGGGGTTACTATATTATTTTTAATACAAGTGGAGGCGTATAGTATAGATAGAAATTTAGGGGCTACTCTATATTACTTTTATAATGCCACCTATGGTAATAATCTAGACAAAAGATTAGAGGTTCTTTAGGTTCTTTTACATAATAGTCGTGATTGGTAATTTATTTAAAGATTGGGTTACTAATAGCTATTATTCTTATTGTTGATTAAAGTATGCCGATTAGAATGCAGAGTGATTAATACTTTTTTTAGAATGTTTATTTTATTTCTCTAACGTGCCTCAAGATTAATGTGGAGGCTCAGCCTCCAATAATTAGTTAATGTGAAAGATTACCGAATTATTGGAGGCTAAGCCTCCACTTGCTATTAAAGTCTGTCGGTTATTAGTGCAGAGTTCTTTCTTCGCAAGTCTACTATGAGGCCAAGAACTTGCTCATAACCGAGAGCATGTCATTTTAAAATGATTAATAATCTTCCAAGGGGTGCACAACTTTTCGCGCAAGTGAACGAGGCCACCGTCCATACGTCTCATCGATAAATAAGGATAACTCATCACCGCATCCTTTCTCATAGTTGGCTAAACCGTCCAATAAACGAGCAAGATGTGCGGGAGTACTAGATTTCTAGTTACTCTTTGCCCCAAATTGCATCGAATCCACATGATGACCCTGCTAAATATGATACTTGGCTTGCCAATCCCATATATAACGTGGGGTTTATATGAAAGGTGTTTAAGACTCACTACGACATATGCAATGGTCCTTAGTCAGCTGAAGCGAGTTATGCCATTCGAGGCCTGGGCTTGCCATGACCCTACTCCTCGCCAAACCTTCGATGACACTCATTCTCTTAGTCATCTTTTTAGCCATTTCTCGTCCTAGTTGTTTATTAGCTAAAGCAATCAACTCCTAATTTGCATGAAGAATGAGAAACCCATCACCTGCTCGATTTTTATCGTCTTTTGCCGAGTGTTTCGGGCACTCGGCAAACTCAAGGAGTCCGGTAGTGCATGACCCTACTCCTCACCAAACCTTCGATGACACTCATTCTCTTAGTCATCTTTTTAGCCATTTCTCGTCCTAGTTGTTAAAGCTAACCATGTATTACTGTCTAAAAATGAAAAAAACAACACTTGAAGACATGGTTATGAACAACGAGAAATAAAGACTACAAGTTGGTGCATCTAGGAGACTAGGACATGATCATACAAAAGTAAACATGCATATATACGTAACATTCAGTCAAGTTTATGCATAAGAATTCATAAGGACCGGAAAGGATATGACCCAGTTTCACAACCAAAGAGTTGGGTATACTCATGCTCATAATGCTTAACATGACCATAACAGAAATTCCATTCTTGTTGAAATTAATCTTTAGACTTGATAGTTATTCAAAGAAAACACTGAGCAATAATTTTATATTCTTAGCATGCTCCAAATCACGATCCATAAATAAGATTATATAATATGCGTAGCAAAATGAATATTCCGTGACTAATTATATAAGTGAAGATTAATATTTGTGTGGTTGCTGTCCTTGTTTGGCTACATGGTGCACCTGTAACGATCTTTGTTTCTCTAAAAAAACATTTCACTTCTTTTATGCGGGTTACCTTTTGCCTATAGTTGCGGATGTTGCTGCAATGTGAGAATACAAGGTATGTTGTCAGCTTGGTGAGTACAACTTTAAAGGCTATCGCTCTAGACATTTTCGTCTAGACTAGACAGAGAAGCCATAGGGTGTGTTTGGTTGGCGCTTAGGCGTGCTGCAGGCTACCGCACCATAAATGTTGTGAAGTCTGGCTGGCGTTTGGCTGGTGACATAGTTAAGGCATGTGGCGTGCCACAAAGAAACCACACCAACATAGTTCGAATTTGCTGCCACACCATGCCAAATGTATGGCGAGCGTTTTCAATGCTAGAGATTTGCCGCAGCCGCAGGTGTGGCCCGGGAGTCGTAGGCGTCATCCAAACATGTGCATAGACCGCTCATTATTTTCTTTCGTTTGTGTGCTCTTTTCCCTTATGTGATCGGCTATATATTAAGTGTAAGAATATAGATTTTAGAGTCACATAGGCAAAACATTTCTATTTTCAAGAAAAATAATGGTATTAGTATAGGATTATGGGTTACCGAGTCATCACAAAATCTACCCATCACCTATCATCATCCACGTGAACGGCGCCATCAGCCTCTAACGCTGCAGTCGTTCACTCGTTCTCGCTTGCGCAGAGCACAAACGCTCCTGTTTTGGCAATATTCATTAATCTATTATTTGCGCCTGGTGGGACTAATTTGTTGATCTCATCAACCATTTAGGCCCTGTTTGGAACATAGGAAATACGTAGGAAAAATGGAGGATTTAGTTCCATAGGAAATGAATAGAGATGACATGTTTGGATCAAAGGATTCGGAGGAAAACTTTCCAGAGGAAAGGCAATAGAGATTGTACTTTTGAAGGAAAGAAAGAATGTGCTCAGAGCTGAGGGAAATTTTCCTACGACGCTTTGCTCGCTCACGCAGCACACTCCTTCTAGTCATTTCCCACATTTTTCCTGTTTTATGGATTCCTGCGTTCCAAACACCCCTTCTAGTTATTTCTCGCATTTTTTCTTTCCTCTGTTTTACCACTATACACTCACCACATTCCCTGTGTGTTTTTTTTATTCCCGTGTCTTTTATTCCTGCGTTCCAAACATGCCCTTATAGTGAATTAGTTGGTGGACATGGCGTAGTGTAGTGGTGGTATGACTATAATTGGTGGCACGACTAATTGATTAGTCATATACTCTCTCTGTCCCAATATAGGGGTCATTATGGGATGCGTGTAGGTCAAACTTTATTAACTTTGACTAGTTTTATAGAAAATACGTGCAACATTTATATCTCCAAATAAGTTTATTATAAAAGTATATTCAACGATCTATCTAATGATACTATTTATGTATTATAAATATTAATATATATTTTATATATTTGGTCAAAGTTAAAAGTGTTTAACTTTTCGAGAAGTGAGAATGACATCTATTTTGGGACAGAGGGAGTATGCCCTTTCTGGCTGCACCACCATCCAGTCATCCCCGAGATGCTGTGTGTATATATATACCTGCCTCTGACTTCCTGCCTGCCTGGACGTGGCCGGTGCCCACAGGCACAGATCGAGCTAGCGGAAGACGGAGGCCGGCAAGTGTTAAGCAGCAGATCGAGGGACCGGTGCAGGGGCGCCTTGCACGTTGCACTGGACACGCAAGATGGCCGGACGCACGGAGGGGGCTCGCTGGAGCGGGGAGACGACGGTGGTGTGCGTGACGGGCGCCGGCGGGTACATCGCCTCGTGGCTCGTCAAGCTCCTCCTCTCTCGCGGCTACGTCGTCCACGCCACCGTCCGTGACCCGCGTAAGCACCCCGTCCCGTCAGCCGCCGCACACACCAGCCGCCGCTGCCTTTCCGGGCCGAGGTGCAGGACTAATCGCGGCCGACGTACGATATATTTCAGGTGATCCCAAGAACGCCCACCTGGGGCGGCTGGAAGGGGCCTCGGAGAATCTCCGGCTGTTCAAGGCCGACGTGCTCGACCAGAACGCGCTGGCTGCCGCAGTCTCCGGGTGCCAGGGGGTCTTCCATCTTGCCTGTCCGGTGCCCACAGATAAGGTTCTTGATCCGGAGGCAAGTGCCAGTACCACTTGGTTCATTGCTTTGAGCTTTTTTTTTGCGGAGGTTCATTGAGTTTGGCTTTGAGGGATCGTCTGCACAGCAGTTACAGTTTCACTTTATATAACTTTTCCGTCTATATACTAACATTTTCACCTTTGCATCGCAGTGGTTTCGTGACGGGCTCTGCGTGTACATTTACTTGGAACCTTAGATTCAGCTCTCGCGGATGCGAATGGATCACCCTGACCCCTTAGGCCTTAATAAGACCAATTTTAGGGTCCATAGGTTAGATCCATTTTGCTTAAACTAATCGCCCCGACGACCCATTGGTTAGGTGATGTCAGCTCAAACATTTTATACCAATAACTCGGAGAATTTTTTTTGATAAAAACAGGAGGAGAAGCCCCTACGTGCTTTTATTGAATTAAAACAGACAGTTTTTGAAAAGATAAGATATAAGATTAAACAATATATATGTTTGGTTTGGGGAGTGGGTCCACGCAGAACCTGTGTCCAAGCCTAATATAAACATAACATAATGTTTGATTTGGCGCACAGAGTCGAGTCGTCCGTCACCAGATGATTCCCTACACCAGCATAAACACGTGATTGACTTGTTCCTTCACAAACCGCCGAACGACTTCGATCCTACCATGAATGAATCCATGTCGGATGTGTTGATACCAGACATGGCAACTCCCCGAACCAAATATAGCCTAAAAAAAGTACCTTAGTAACACATTAAGGTTATTAGCAATGTATCAAATAAATAAGTTTGCTAGTGAACCATAATTTTAATTTTATCAATTTTTACTTTTAAAGTATGATATTTTCCGATCTACTTCCAAGCACATATGTGCTTATAAGTAATGACCAACGGGGTTTATTCAAAAAATAAATAAATAAAGTCACTTTTCATGATGTGCTTTCAGAATGTAATCTTAATAACATGGGTTTCCTGGGGGATCGCTTTACTTGGCGGCGAGGACAACTCAGGGAAAGACTTGATAGAGCGGTGGCTAATGTGCAATGGTCGGACCTCTTTCCTCAAGCGGCTCTGACTAATTGCAAGATGACAAGGTCTGATCACCACCGAATTTTGAGGGATGTTAATTACCTACGGGGAACTCATGGGGGCCAAGCAGTCCATTAAAGGAGGTTCGAGGCTCGATGGTTACAGGAGGACACGGTGGAAGAAATTATTAAAATAGCTTGGGCAAGAGCAGCAGCACGTGGGGAAGGGCCCAAGCTAGTGGAGAAAGTAAATGAAGTGCATGAAGAATTACATCAGTGGGATAAGGAGGTTAAGAGCTCGAGCAAACTGGTTGAAGCATGGAGATAGAAACACTAGTTTCTTCCAAAACTATGCATCCAAATGTAAGAGGAAGAATACCATAAAAGGTTTAGCTGATCATAACAGAACAATCCAGGAAGATGGGGCGACGATGTGCTCCATTGTGCAAGACTACTTTGGTAATTTATTTACCTCGGAGTTGGGTGAGCCTGATCCAGCCGTTCTGGCAGATGTGCAGCGCTGTGTAACGTAGGACATGAACACGGGGCTGCTGGCGCCTTTCTCCTATGAGGAAGTAAAGAAAGCTCTCTTTCAAATAGGAGATCTCAAGGCAGCGGGTCCAGATGGACTGCATGTAGTATTTTTAAAAGGTTCTGGAATCTATTGGGTGATGACTTAGTAGCCGAAGTTTTGGAGGTAGTGAACCGTTGTAAAGTCCCAGATAGTTGGAATGACACAACAATTGTTTTGATCCCCAAGGTAAATAATCCAACTTTGGTGTCACAATTTCGTCCAATTAGTCTTTGTAATGTGGTGTATAAGGTCATTTCAAAAATGCTAGCGAATAGACTGAGAGCGATTTTGCCAGAGATTATTAGTGATCATCAAAGTGCTTTTATACCGGGGAGGCTTATCACAGATAATATCCTTATTGCCTATGAAAGTATTCATAGAATAAAGAAGAAATGTGGTAAGCGAGGCCTTTGTGCTATAAAGTTGGATATGCATAAAGCTTATGATAGAGTAGAATGGAATTTTCTAGTGAAAATTATGCTAAAAATGGGTTTTAACGAAGATGGGTGCAACTGATCATGGCTTGCGTGTCCTTAGTGAAATATAATGTCAGGTTCAATTCGATGGAGACAGGGGTGTTCACACCAACAAGAGGACTACGTCAAGGTGATCCTGTATCCCCTTACTTGTTTCTATTTGTGGCTGAAGGCCTCTCAAGTCTGCTGAAGGGGGCCGAAACAAAGGGGAGAGATAGAGGGAATTCGGGTCTATAGAGATGCACCAGAAGTATCCCATCTTTTATTTGAAGATGATTCCTTGATCTTGATTCATGTAGATAAGAGAAATGCTGATAATCTGAAACATTTGCTAGACAATTATTGTGTAAGTCCGGGGCAGATGGTGAGTGATGCAAAATCAAGTATCTTCTTCAGTGAGAACACCTCTGTATCAGATAAATTAGAGGTGTGCCAATCCCTGAATATCATGACAGAATCGCTGAACGACAAATACCTAGGTCTCCCTGCGTTGATAGGAGCAGATCGCAATGATTGTTTTCAACATCTATTTGATCGTGTCCGATCTAAAACAAAGGGATGGAAGGAGAAGCTATTAAGTATGGGAGGTAAAGAGATTTTTATAAAGTCTATCGCTCAAGCCGTACCAGTATATGCGATGATGGTTTTTAAAATCCCAAACAAAATTTGTAAAGGGATATCAGACGCCATATCACAATTCTGGTGGGGTGATGAAGATGACCATAGAAGAATTCACTGGAAGGCATGATGGAAACTTTGCATCCCGAAGAAAAGAGGTGGAATGAGTTTTAGAGACTTGGAAAGTTTTAATCTAGCTTTGTTAGTGTAATACCCTCGGTGTTACACCATAAATCATTTACTAAAACATGTCATGAGTATCATGTTTATGTGTTAATGTATGTGATAAAGTGTGTAGATCAATTTCTGTAACTCAAAACGATCAACTAAAATGCAGAGCGAAAGTTGATTCGATAGTCATGTTATATCACTTAGGGTTTAAAACCAATTTTTATTAAGCAAAAATGCTATAGAACATGTGTGTGATACTTAAATAAAGTTTGAAGTACAAACTTTGTAGATGACAATGAAATACTTGTTGTTGAAAAATGATATTACTAGCTAATATTTCCACTAGCTTAGAAATCGCGAATGGAAATCACATTCAGCTCAAAAACTTAGAATTTTTCAAGTTTGCCAACAGTTAGACACTGCTATTTTTAGCAATTTATTGTGAGAGATTGGGTTAAAGGGTGGTGTAGTGTTATAGCTCGATTTGGTAGTCTCATATGCCATCTTGGGCATGGTGAAGTTGGTTTGGCTCCTGGAGCAACCATTTGGTCATGTTGAACACTTTAAAATTCGTGCGCGTCACTGTCTCGGGTTGGTTGGCGCCAGGTGCGCGGTCATCGCACGGCCTTCCCACGCCATGCACATGGCCACGTCCCGCGTGGTCAACCGTTCCGCCACGCACTCGCGCTTGGCCGGTCGAGCCGCCTAGGCTTGGTCGAGGCCGGCCGCAGCGAGCCATTGGCCCCGCGCCTTGCTGCCCAGCCTCTCGCTGCCGCCACGGTCGCGCTACACTGCCGTTGCATCCGCACTGTCGACACTCCTCATGTCGCGATGCTGCCGCTGCTGTCGCGTCATTGTCGCATCCACGCCAGTCCGCTGCACCTCTGCGTTGTTGCTGGTCCTATACGTGTCGCCTCTGTCGCGCGCACGTGGGTGAGCCGACGTCAACATGCCATTTATGGCACTACGGCGCGCGGGCCACGCTGGTTGGATGCACATACGCGTTGTCCCTAGCACCGGCGCATGGACCTCCTGACCCCGCCGCTCACGTGCCCCCAAGGCAAGGACGAGTTGAGCCCACCTGCCATGCTGTCTCTCTCTTTCCCTCTTTCTCCCTCTATTTCCACCGCCGTCGTGTCACGTCACGGTGAAGCCAGAGAGCGAGCACCTCCCATCAATTACTCGTGCTCGCGTCTCTGCCTTCACACCCCCTCTTCAGCCGACCCCACCCCACCTTGACTCATGTCACGCCGAGCTCCAATTTTGGAGCTTTGCCCACCGCCGTGCCGTTAAGGCCCGTCACCGCCCACACCTTGGCCAGCCTCCACCACTTCGCCTCGCACCAATTCCTCTGCACCACTTGCTCGCCTTGGCTCCCTCTTCGTCATGCGCATGCTAGTCGCAGCTCTAGTGCCGCCTCCTCGCCGCTAACACGGCCGTGCCTTTGCGGTCCACCATTCACCTCGCAGCGCGCACGTGGCTAGCCCTGCTCAGTTAGTCGCCAGTCAAATCACCACTTTGGCTGGGTTCACGATGTACCCCTAGTGCTTATTCCCTATCTCTACCGTCCTGTTAGCGCTGTGGCTCACTAGAACACGGTTGCCGCCATTGTAGGTCGTCTGCCGTCGGGGAGAGCCCGCTCTGCTTCACCCCCGCTTATGCAACCGTCGCCCATAGTCTCGCGTTGAACCCTAGGTGAGCGTCGGCCTCGTATATAGGTCATCGTGGGTCCCATGTGGCTGGCGTAAGCGCCAGTGCCACCGCTTGCCGCGCCGGTGTGCGCGGGGATGGTCGAGGACCTTGCCATTGTAAAGAGGAGAAAGGTCCAAGGGTTCCATTGCAAAGTCGTTGTCTATAGAAATAGTAACGTGGATTGTGGGTTGTTTTGCTCGTAGTCCAGGGGTGTTTTTGCTAATGTGCCAGCGCGCATGGGATTCCCCCGCCGCGGGCCGCCTCGCGCTTCAGGCCGGCCTCCCGTGGTCCGTGCCTATGGGCCGCGTTGGGCCAAAATTAGTTTATCTTTTTCGTGGAGAATAGAAATAGCTTTTTAATTGTATTTTTGAGCTGATCTTTAGTAGATCATATTAAATTATGTAGGTTTCCAAAAATTGTGAAACTAATTTTGTTAAGTTTCTAAAATTGTGCTCTATCTGTTGGTGTATTTAGTTCATATATATTTGTTGATTCTAGGAACTATTAAATCATTTGAGAGTGCTAAA